CGCCAGAGGTTCGGCCATTTTTAAAACGTGAATGCCACACAAAAGTTTGCGGACTCCCCAAATGTTTGCTTTAGCATTTCATAGGTTTCCTTAGCCGTTTTGGCGAGTCTTTGGCAACATTTGATGCACACGCCATTCCGAAATCGCAGGAGGGTCGGTGTAATGCACTACCAAAACGCCCGTAACTAAGAAACAAATGCTAATTCGATGATGCCGGCTGGCACACTGATTCACTATGAATGTAGGCCGCACCCCCTAAAGGCAGAAGCTCGTACTACATCCGGTTCGCCCTCTATTGACACAGTCTTTAAACTTTCCGATCGCACCTCGTAAATATATTTATTCCGTGACAGTAGAAGGCGTTACGTAACCCTTTAAAGCCTCGTGGGAATTTTATGTCCCACCTGCTGTAGCAATCACTAAGTCTATATTTAGGCATGTGTTTCGCGTGATTCTTGGTGTAGAGGGAGTATTTCCTTAAACAGCGTCAAACAGATGACCTTTGAAATGGTAATATGCAGTGTTTTCTTTGCAATACGGACATGTTGTATTTTTCCATTAGCGGCTTCTGAAAATGAATCGAAGTTCAGAAACTATCTTCGTGGAACACGTTCATATTTTCGGATTGTTGAAGAATAGTAATGGAGGATAGAATCCGTAGAAACCCTTATGAATATTGATGCTTCCAGCATTCTACGTGAACTCTTTCTTGCTACCGGGAATTTAACTTCTTGCCTTGAGGAAGAAATGGCGAGTCTATAATAAAACGTTCTCTGCTCGCGTGTTGTAGGCTATTTTATAAACATATTGCTGCAGACGGACAGCTTCTGAATTTTATCCGCTACTTCGAGCATTCAGACATTTTTACGTAATTATTCGAAGCTAACGGGTACTCGTGAGCATTGTGAGATCAGTGTTAGTGATGAAGCTCGTGAGATTCATGCTTTCTCGCCTCAATTTTAATCAATTCAAACTTGTGGTCGCAAATAACAAGCGATATAATTCCCCCTGTGCCTAACACAACGTCATGAATGCATGCGTGTGGCTGGAGAAACCTGGAGAGATGAGATCACTCGGAAGACATCGGTCCAGATGGGAGGATCGTACTAAAATGCATATTAAACGAACAGGGTACGAGGCTGTGGATCTGATTAATACAGAGGCCGTGAAGATAAACCAGAGATTTTTCTAGAATTCGGCGTTATATGTGGCATCCGAAGAGATCTGAGAGTAGCGACGAAGAAAATGACCCTGAGTCTGCAAGGAACCGAACAGCAGACACGCGTTTGCACTTTTTACAAACAAATTAATGTGTTCCTGTTCCATTAGAATCAGCCACCAGAGGAGATTCATGAGATTTCACCTGCTATTTTCTTCTTAATCCGGGCCTTAACTAACCTCACGGATCAGCGTCCTTCTTGAGACGCTAACACAGCACTAAAATTCCCCGCCTTTTATGAAACGTGAAAGTTCCTTCCCGCGTTCGCAGGAGCTTACCACCGGTTCATATTCTGAGCCAGATTAACCCAATCCACTCCCCAACCCTATTTCCCTAAGATTCATTTTAATATTATACTTCCATCTACGCCTGGGTCTTCTCTCTTCCGGCTTTGCAACCAAAATGTACATACATTTCTCATCTCCCCATGCGCACTACATTCCTCGCCCATCACATACTTCTTGGTTTCGTCACCCTGATATTATTTCGCGAAGAGTACGGATTACGGAGCTCCTGATTATGTAATTTTCTCCACTCTTCTGTCACTTTATCCCTCTTGGATTCAATTATTCTCTCAAGTACCCCGTTCTCAAACATCCTGTGTTCTCGCCTTGACGTGAAGACCAAGTTTCACACCCACATGAAAGACAGGTAAAATTATAGCCTTTTTAATCTTCGCGCTTTTAGACAAAGACAGGAAGACAAACGACTCTGAACTGCAGGTAGCGAGAGAGTTTCCTGATTTTATTCTGCTCTTAATTATCTCGTGAACACAATTTTGATTTGTTACCGTCGTTCCCAACTACGCCCGGTCCTTAGTTTCTTCTTGTCTCCACGTTGAACCATCAGTGTGGGAGCTTGGGAGGAATGCGAAGTCCTAACTGTACAGTCCAGACTGACAAAACATGGCAAGCGTAAAGGAAAGACTGTCACAGTAATCCTGTCTGACAAAGACATTGCGGTACTTGGAATGTCACCTTTTCGCCATTTTTGCTGTTTTCGTTGGTGGTCTCTTGAGGGCAATAAACTTTCAAGAGGAAAACTTTACGACCCGCCACATCTCACCTCCCTTCTAAATGCTGCAGTTTTTATTTTATAGGAGCTTAGGGTTCAAAGGGCTACTGATATTTTGATTCTTGAATGAGAAAAATGCTGAGGACAAAACAGCAGATCTGGAGACCCATTCAGCGAAGATTCAGACTGATTATCTTTGAGAAACGTCTGTAATTGATTATCAGTGAAGATTAATTCAAGATCAGGATCCCTTGTGCATGTAAATGATGCGAGGTAAAAGCTATTCTAAGATTAATATCGGGGAAAAAATGTAATTCCAGTGCCACAGACTCCGTATGCCGTTAACCTAAACAGAAGCCCTTCGAGTGAGCTGAAAATAACAGGATTTACCAGACATCATTCAAATTACGCTGCGACTTACTTGCTATTTACTCAGACATCACAAACAATTCCCTTAATGTTCGTGAAAACCTCAAACCCCAACCTGACATGTAAACGTCTTCATTCAAACAGAAAACTTCTGCCGTAGTATGTAGAATGGTAGAAACAAGTGTGAATTTGCTGTAAGGATGTACAAAGGAGCCTGCTTTCTGGAAGTATTTCTTCTGCAAAAATATACTCATGTCAACAGCAAATCTTTGCAGCTTGTATTATTGTTATGCCACATAATAATTATTTTGGTTTCTGTTTTACATTCCGTTGAATGAAAGTTTTTAGGCTTTTTAGTAATTCCGCCCCAAGTACTGGTTAATTTACCTCGCATTCATCACATGACACTTCATCGATGTAAATGCTACTCTTACTAACCTGTTCGCCGGTCGCTCCCGAAGTCTGTAACACTGAAAAATCACTGTCACTTCCTCACGACGAAAATGATAATCATCGCTGAAGGTCGCCATGACATTCCACTGTATCTTATATAAACGCACAAGAATCAAACACTGATAAGCTCTACTGACTTCCTCGCGGCTCGGCGTCACTAAACAAACTGGCTGGGACCAGTATGAGCTTTGCAGTTGCTGCAGTTACGGACTGACCTCTGAAGCTCTCGTCTCACAAAGCTCTTGTCGCCCCTCCTCTTCACCTCTCCACACAGGCATGAAAGGCCGTGTGCTTGACAGCGCAGGCTACCCTATGTCCCGGCTGCTTGCAGTAGGAAAAGTGGAAGAAACGTTTGTTAACGTTCGTTACGAGAGGCGCAATTGTGACTGCATTCAATTTGTGTTCATCACATTTACAACAGATTCAGCCACTCTGTTATCTAATCTCGGCCAGAGACTGTCTATCCTGACTTGCGATTTCCCGTGGTTTTTCTCGATCTGTCCAGGAAAATGTCGAAATCGTTCCTTACATTAGGCTACAAAAACCTCATTTCAAATCTTTGTAATTCATTATTTCATTAAATGAACCACAAATAAATAAAATTCTTGGTATCTGTACACTGCGATCAACATGAAATGTGAGTCAGAAGCAGGCATGTTTTACCCATCGTGTAGTTGGCTGGGTGGGCCCATAAGTATCAAATATTGCGTTGTTTCGCGGTATTGATTCTGCTCGCATCTTTCTTACGCGGGACGTACCTCTGTCCTAAAGCATCTTCATTAGTTGAGTCTACGTTTCAGAAGCTGGATTTTACTTCCGTCTTAAGGTAAAAGATGTAAGAGGATAGAAAGCCAATTTGTTGGGCCCCTTGGTCGAGGTAGCCTCAGACCTGGACTAAGTGCTGGGTGCTTACTGTAGTAAATATACTTTGAAACGTCGGTAAATTTCTACGAGACCACACAGCGCAATATCTCAGAAGACCGTCATCTTGATTCTCGCCACCATGAAAACCTGAAATCTTACTGAATTAAATTGACTCGAGTTGAATGTCCAATGAGAATTCGTCCGAAGACTAAATGTTTTAAACAGATGAATAAACAAAAAGAATAATTATATTAGTTCCAAGAAAATTACTCTTTCTCAGCATTTATTGGCATTGAGTCAGACAGCAAGAAAATACATAATTTACTTTGCTAAGGTACAAGAAGGACATCTATTTTGATCACAAAATTAACTCTCCCTTTATTACAATATTTTTAGTGACCAGATACCATGATTCAAAAACGTATAATCTTTTGACATATCTTTCAGTAGTCTTTACGTCTTATATTAGATAGTTCAATAACCAAAAAGTGAGGGTACAGATACACGATGGTTCTTTTATTCAGGAATTTCTCAATATTCCCAGTTGCATTGGTTAGTAGTTCCCTAACCTCGTTGTGATATGCTGCCCCCCCCCCTCCAGCCTATAGAAACCATTTAACATGCGACTGAGCAATTTGTAGAAATAATTACTAATTAATCTTAATGACAAAATGTTTTAATATTATATAATTTTTACAACACCAATAAACTTCAAACGTTTGTGTATAGACTGTACAAAATAAATATATTTAATCAAACACAAACATGACGCATATAAGATACAAATTAATCTTAATGACATTCTTTTTAAAGCACGTTTTCTTTGGAATTGTCTGCTATTGTTTAGTGTGGCCTTTTCGTATCAGTTTATAAGAATTGTGATTGGACCATTAGCACCCCCCCCCCTCCTTCAAGATGGCCTCACAGCCACCTTGCGGCGGGGTAAGGAGGCTCCCGCTATGGGAAATGTAGTTTTAGATAATCCTTCTCTTGTTAGCACACGGCCCAAAGGCTTTGCTGACCGAGTCAGTGGACGGGGACTGCTGCTCCTTCTATCGGCAACTGCGCAATGTTTAAGACAGAAACTATAGTTTCTTATTGTTATGAAGGTGGTCACACACCTGTCTCTAGTTACCGAGGTTCGGGCAAGATCCATTCAAAAATATTGCACTTAGTTCTGCTGGCAGCAGGGAAGAAAGGAATTTCATTTCTGCTGGAAACTGTAAAGTGGAGTAACAAGGCGAGTTTGTAATGGGCGTCTGTTGAAAGCCAGACTGACACGGACAGCCAACCTAACATAAACCTCATGTACTGAATGGTGTAGTGGTTTTTGAGCGCAATAATACCGGAAGCCGAGCCTCACATAAGTTTGGCTTTATGATCAAAGAGACGCATATTTAAAGAATTGCTGCCGCAAGAATGCTTTTGTTGTCACTGGACTAACAGGTGTAGTCGGTATCGATACATAAGTAGATACAGATGGATGGATGGATGAACGGACGGACTGATGGACAGATAAACAGGCAAAGGACAGGTAGACGGATAGACAGATAAAAAGTTAGGCAGACATTAAATAAACCTTCGGTATCCTAAATAAGTTTTTCTTTGTGACTGAAGTGTCGCTCGGTCTAGGCGACGTATATTGAAGTTATGCAAAAGACTTCTTCGTTTTGTTTTTATTCTTCAACCATTGCATAAGTAGGTGACAATCCACATTTCTTTGTCGATTTCAGATGTGTTTTCTGTTTCCTCTGCCATATAAATGCATTATGCTATCTTGATATGATATTTGACATGATTATTTCAACGACAAGAAGTGGAAGTCCTGTTTCTGAACTCACTGCTCCATCTCAGAACTCAGATCAAACGTCCTGTTTGTTTGTTTGTTTCCTGTTTTTCTACTAGCCCGTATCTGTTAGTTTTGTATTCTGGTAATTGTGATCTCCGAATATATTTTATAATCTATAGATCTGCGGTTACAGGACCACAAACTTTGTGTCCTTAGCTTCTAACGTGTTGTATTATTCAGTTATTTTTCTTAACTTTGATGTCTTCACCCGTAATACGAGTTCAAGAGTCATTTTCTCAATAATATATTAATTACATTTTTTTGTAGCTTGACAATCTACTGTGCCCTAAATAACGACTTTCTCTCGTGCATCACGATCGCCGAACTAAATAACCAGATATGTTAATAAGAACAGTAAAATTAAACAATTGAATGAGGGTAGAGCCCGCTTACCAAACGTTGGTTTCCATTTTAAAGTACATTTCCACTCACTTAACCTCAAACTGTTCAACTCCAGACTAAATTTATTGATGTATAACTATTAAATAAAGTCGACTCAGCTGAAATTGTTTTCTGGGCGATTAAAGCAAAATTGCAGATAAACAAGTAGAATGACATTAAGGATCACACAGCTATGAAGATGCCGATTTGGTCTTCTGGGTTGTAACACCGTATGAATTTTTATGTAGATTCCAGCGATTCGAAAGAACATACTGCCTCCATAGTCAGGTAACCTGCCTATGTGTATATCCTTATATCCATTGTCAGTCTACCTGAGGATGTAGGTTTTGTGATCTGTACTGTGTCAGCCCTGAAGTTAGAGGCAGGATGTTCCTTCGAAGCATTGATATCCACGTAGAAGTCCACACGACGCCATAACCCAGAGACTAACATTGACGGGCAGATTGGCAAATGGACGGAAGGATGTTCAGGCAGATGACACTAGGCGATTGATTGACTTTATCCAGACAGCGTGAACTTTGGTATTTTGAAAAGAATAATCTAGAAGCGCATGCCCACACAGGCTACAAGAAAGTTTTTGAGCAAAACACGTGTATTAATGATGCAAGTTATATTATTTATTTAGTGTTCTGTCTGACGACAGGTCCATATGAACAGGATCCTTCCATCCTTTTCTCGGACTGGGACCTGTTCATATACGTTCTTGGCGGATGATCCAGAAGTGGTTTGCCATTGCCTTCTTCTGTGTGTGAATGGAGTAATTGTTGGGATGCCACGGAGGAAAACTCCGTATTGCCTAGACCACGGCCTTGCCCAACACAAGTTATAAATTCGGGCACCGCCGGGAATCGAACCCGAGACCCCAGGATTACAAGGCCAGCGTTCTACCCTCTAGACCACCGTGGCGCCTGATGCAAGTTATAGTGAAAGTAAAATAGTAAAATTAAATTTATTGAAGATGATCAATGTTTGGATTTCAAAATACTGAATTTGGAACGTGTGTGTGTTAATTGCAACTGTAGAGGCCCTTATTTAATTAGCCTGTTTGTTACAGTTTCTCAAGTCGCCAGTGGAATGAATTGTATGAAACACCCGTTAGGAATGAAGGGAATACATGCCACCCAGATCGTGAATAATTCCAAAGTTAAATTCATCTCCACTCGGTAGTTGAGGGCCAACAAGAAGTCATGGTTTCTAGTCCCGATCGTGTGTGGTGAACATTTCACAACAGGATGCGTTCGTAAGTGGGTCTTCAGTACAGCATCTCTAACGAGGATACTTGATTGCGTCTTCTCAAGACAATCAATCCATAGGCGGCGGGGGAGTTGGACGAACGCCAACGCGAATCTGCAGACCCACTTTCTAGTACCACGATCTCACTGCCCGTGTAAAGTAGAATCCATTTTAATGATAATCAAGACCACATGGTTAAATGCAATATGTACAATTTTCTAACGCCTAATTCTGAATGCGAAAGACCAAAAGATTTAAACCGAAAATTCCGAAAAAGAAGACATTAAACATTAAAATTATTATATAATAAAATTGTCTTGTCATAGTATTTTACCAGTGACCACAAAACGTCAATACCGTAACCTAAGATGTTTAATTATCTACCTCAGCTTTCACTGTGGTTGAATTTAACATATACGAGGTGCGATCGGAAAGTTTAAAGACTGTGTCAATAGCGGGCGAACCGGATGTAGTACGAGCTTCTGCCTTTAGGGGGTGCGGCCTACATTCATAATGAATCAGTGTGCCAGCCGGCATCATCGAATTAGCTTTTGTTTCTTAGTTACGGGCGTTTTGGTAGTGCATTACACCGACCCTCCTGCGATTTCGGAATGGCGGATTTTCATGAACAAATCAAATTTTGCCAAAGACTCGCCAAAAAGGCTACGGAAACCTATGAAATGCTAAAGCAAGCATTTGGGGAGTCCGCAATGGGTCGTGCACAAACTTTTGTGTGGCATTCACGTTTTAAAAATGGCCGAACCTCTGTCGAAGATGACGAGCGTTCTGGACGACCATCTCCGAGCACAACGCCCGAAAATGTTACCAAGATTCGGCCGGATTTAGCTCCGTGTGACTTCTTCCTCTTCCCAAAGATGAAA